TGCGTTGCAAGGGTAGGGGCCTCGGCGCTTGCCCAGCCTTTCCCCCAGAAAGCCGTTTCTTCCCGCATTTCTTCAGCCCCGCGGACGGCTTTACCGAGTTGAGTTTCTTTTTTCTTTTTTTCCGGAGAATTGCTCAATTCCCCTTCTTCCTCTTTTTCTCCCGCGCCCAAGGCTCGGGGAGCAGCGGAGCCGCCGGGGCGGCAGCGCCACCTGCTGGCAGCCGGGTGAGTAGCGGGATCCAGTCCTGGGTCCCTCCTGCCTCCGGATTGATTGTCCCCTGAAAAGGGACAAGGATTCAACTACTAAAATGAGTTTAAAATCCCAGGATAATGGAAAACTGAAGGAATTGGCATCCCTCTCACACTTGTATGGTGGAGGAGTGAGTGAGTCCAGCCTTTAGGGAGAGAGAAGTAAAGTAATATCAAAACCACTGAAAGTGTTGATTCATAAATACACACGATCTTTGTCAATTAAAAAATAAAATTAGGACTGGAGGCGAGGCTTAATGGTGGAGTGCTTGCTTTTGCATATCGGGGCTCTGAATTCCATCCCCAGCACCATAAATTACAACAAGTCAAATTAGTTGATATTTAATAGAAATATTTAGAAATTCAGAAATGCCACTGTTGGAGACTGCTGTTAAGAGAACACAAACACAAAAAGGCATGAGAATCAAGATGTTTGCTGCAGTGTTGCCTGAAATAAGGAAAATGCCATATTAATGTATGGTCACAATAACTATGGCATATGCATTAGACTACAATGAAACCACCCAAAGTAGCCTGTAGGAACAGGATCTATTACAGGAAGTGTTCAGGATGTGTAGTTGCAATTTAAAAAGCTGATGACTAAACAATATGTTCAAGAACCGTTTCCGATCAAGGCCATCCTGAAATGCATGCCGTTGGCACTTGTGCATTGTGGGGATGGGGCTCCTCAGAAAAGGACAGTTGTGTGTTTCCTACACAGCCTATAGGTGAGGACCTCACAAGAATCCTGGACAGGAGAGTCCTCTGTTGCCAAGAAGGAAGCATGTGATCCCCGAGCTGCTGCAGCCATCTTGTCAACACGAGGAGAGAAGGCCAAGCAGGGGAAAGCAGAACTAAGTGGGAGAGTGAAAGTGAGAGAGAGAGAGAGAGAGAGACTGGATGACAAAGTTCAAGTCCTTGGCTCCAACTTGGCCCCGGAAGCTGGTCTCCGCTAGGACTCTTCAGGGAATAAATTCCTCCCTTGTGAGGCTGACTCTGTTTTTTGTCATGGTAACTCAATGGTTCTGCATGGCCCCAGACACAAGCTCCCCAGCTCCTTCACTTTGCAACGAGCCACTCACTAGCCAGGGGAATGACAGAGGTATCATGAGAAGCTTTCTTCTGTTGGCCTGGGAGCCCATTCTCTTGGTGGCACAGCCAGGTGACACACCAGGGTGAGAGCATGTTCCCTTTCTGGGAAAAGACTCAAACCTGATGGTCAGAGGAGATTCCAGGGTGAAGGCTGAGCTCCTGCTTCCCCTCTGCCCAGATCCCCACTGGCCCGTGCGCCTGGGCTCTGTCGAGGGCCCCCTCCCAGCCTGGAGTCTCCCTTAAACCGCTCCTCCCTGGAGTGGTCTTCTCTGGCCACCTGGCTGAAGGACAGCACTCTATCCCAGCTTGGGTTTGCTCTGCGAGTGGCCTTCTGACACGCCACCTCTGTGAAAGCAAGGCCCGGTCTGTCCTGGTCCCTGCTGTACCCCCAGCTCTTCCCAGGGTCTGGGACATTCTGGAAGTACCATCTGAAAACACAACTGCAGGGCCTGGGGCTATAGCTCAGTTGGTAGGGTGCTTGCCTCGCATGCACGAGGTCCTGGGTTCAATCCCCAGCACCACATACAAATAAAATAAAGATATTGTGTCCATGTAAAATTAAAAAATAAATATTAAGAAAAAAAAAAGAGTGCCTAGCTAGCTAGCACAGGGTTTGTAGTTTGGAGGCGCAGTCTGACATGATGCTGTATCACCAGGACCACGTGGCTGGGAACTTATTTCCTCTTGCCGTGTTTTCCCGTGTCTTTGGGAGTGAAAGAGAAGCCCTGGTTCGCTGATAACAGGTCTTTGCCCTCTGAACCAGGGACCACCGGCGTCCTGTCCTGGGCAGGGGCCTGCTGGGGTAGGATACGGTGGCAGGTTCCACTGCGGTTATTTGATAGCTGCCTTCCAATTATAGCCAGTGACTCTGATTTTCCGTTCAGGGTAGTAACAGGAAGTTTCTTTTTCAAATAAATTTACATAAGTAAAAGGATATCAGCTACAAGGAAAATAGCAATTCAGTGACAAAACAGGTGGTGGCATTGTTAACAGGGCCCCAGAGGAAGGGGCGCATGACGGAGCAGGAAGATGCCAGAAAGGCAGCCTCTGGGGGAGTGGCCAGTGAAGTCTGGCTCTGAACCCCAGAGGCCACCCGGCCGGGCACAGGCCCCTGCCAGCAGGTAGAGTTGGTGGTCACTTAGCTGCTCTGAAGCAGCCTTGGCTAGTGGGACGGGTGCTCTGAGGACAGCAAAGGGACGCTGGCCTCAGGACTGCAGCCCAACCTGAACCGAGCTTCCGCCTGGGGCCAGGAAGCCAGGCCGGGCTAAAGGCTTCCACCCAGGCCTCAACGCTGACCCTGAGCCCAAGTCCAGCCTGGTGGCCTCGCCAAGGGTTTTCTGGAATTTGAACCTGGAATTATTTGGCCTGCCTTGCCTGTCAAAGCATATCACTTTGATGTGGATGTCCCACGTCTGGTTCTTGCACTGTCCCTGTCTCCTGTGACCTTGAGTGACCCTCTGCAGGCCTCACTTTCCCCATCTATAAACAGAGAATATGAATTAAATGGCTTTGAAGGAACATTGAGAGGACCAGGGACGCGTCCCCTCCCTCCCCTCCCCTCTCCCAGTACAGGGCTCAATAAGTGAAGTACGGGCCGCGGGTCCAACCCATCTGAGCTTCATTTCCTGGTCTACCAACTGTTAGCTGTGTGACCCCAGGTAAGTCACCTAGCCCCTCAGGGTGTCTGTGTCCTTCTCTGTACATGGGGTGGGAGCAGGGCCCACACGGGGGAAGCCTGCCTGCAGTAAGAGACCCCCAGCATCTCTGGATGCAGGTCTCACCAGCAGGCCTAATCCCATCCCAAGGGGAGACCCCAGGACACTGGCTCCTTGGGGCATCAGGACCACGTGCCCAGAGCACGTTCCGGGGAGAGGCTGGCATGGTGCCACCAGTGAGAGCCACCCAGGACCTGGGCTGGTGCACCTGTAAGAGACAGGGGGAAGGCCAGGTGGGGAGGAGCCCAGGAAAGTACCTGTCCGGGCTCTGGGGGTGATTTTCCTCAAGGCCCCCCTCAGTCAGTTGGCAGGGAAGCCTCACCTGCAGGGGGCGGGAGTGGGGGTAGGAGTAGGGGTGATCTCGTTAAAGTGGCCATTCTGGCTGAGCAGGCCGAGGCGGGACTGAAGGTCTGCGTTTCTCCCAAGCCCTGGGGAGCCTGCTGATGCTGACCCCAGCCCCACCCAGGTCTTGAGGGCAGGTGCTCCCCACCTCTCCCGTGGGCCCAGCTTTTGTGAAAGCAGGAGAATTTCGGCCCGGCTTCCTTCCAGCTCCCCAAAGCCCCCTGGAACAAGGTCTAAGTGAAATGCACAGTGGAAAGGGCCCAGGAAAACGGGAAGTGGGGTATCCCCGTGGGGTCACTGTGAGCCATGAGGGAAACTCCCTGGGGCAGGGCCTGAGAATTCAAGGACTTATTCCCCAAACCCAAGAAATGAGTGGGTCTCTGACTCCTGGAGCAAATGGCATGTGTCAGGAAGAGATGGCCATCACGGTCATCCCAGGACGACCCACAGTGGACGAGGACACTGTGCACATGACCAGCAGAAACTCCACTGGACCCACGGGCTGCAGCTGTTGGGAGAACTGGGAGAAGAGCATGAGTGTCATGCGCTGGGGTCCCAAAGCTGCCCTTTGTGGCAGCTCCTGATTATTCAGGAGCTGGAGTGATCCTCTACCTGAGAATTCAGTCAGGAGCCAGTCCTTCTGCAGGTGGTAGTGATGGGGAACACCCCTCTACGACTGTGTAGGTATTTCTACCCCATATGGGTATTTTCTCTGTGTGTGCACGCCACACACACACACACACATCATATATTTGTGACTTTGAGATGCACAGTGTCTTCACCTTATGCTCCTTCTTGACCTAGATCCACGTTGACTTCCTTTAGAGAGAGCTTGCAATAGCAGTTGCAGGAACACCTCCAAGTGAAACTGCTTCAACACGACTGCTCTTCTGGCGCTATTTTGGACCACACTGTTGTACTCAGCCCCCAAACGTGGGTGAGCACAAGCTTGCAGTCCAAATTCTCTGACATCCCCTCCTCTACCCATGCCAAGCTTGATTCATGCAAATGTCCTCTTGTCCCTCCCTGCCCAGCAGGTGTCTTCATCCACTTTTATTGTTGCTATAACTGAATAGCACAGAATGGGACATTTATAAAGAATGAATATTTACTCAACTCAGAGTTCTGGAGGCCCCACATCTAGGGGATGCAGCTAGTGAGGACCTTTCTGCTCATGAGGATCCAGAATCCCACGGCAGGGTGGCTATCACCAGGCAAGACAGAGCAAGTGGGTCAGCTTGGATCTCTCTTCCTCTTTTAAAGTCACTAATGCAATCATGGGGTTCCCACCCTAATGGCATCCCTAATCCTGACTGCCTCCCAAAAATTCCACCTCCAAACACCATAGATTAAGTTTCTACCCTCCTAATACCTCACAGTGGGGATTAAATTGCAGCATGAAATTTAATCCACCCAGAACGGTAGGTTTCTCTTGCATTGACTCTCATATTGGGGACCTAACTCTTGGTCTCCCAGTCTGCTGGAATCCCCTATGAAACTCTTCAGCGTTTGGGCACTTTTTCTTTCTTAGTAAATATTTGGTGCATTTTACAATTGAGAATATTTTATAGTTGATGAAATAATTTGTAGTTTCAGTAGGATCTTCATAATAGCAGAGTCACTACTTTTATTTTTTTCATTTAACACTCTAGTTTCCCATATGCCCTGGCTTTCAAGAAGTCCAACATATTCCTGCTTCCAGGGTCCTTCTCCTGGAGTAAACAGAGAGACAGGAGGGTTTTCTTTGTCCAAAGCTGTCTGTGTTTTATTCTCACCCTCAGGAAAGAGCCGGGATTGGGCCACACAGTGGTTGCCACAAGGTGTCGCTGTTGAACAGACTCTGGTGTAGTTTAGTGAATGCTTGTCCACTGCTACCTTGACCTGGGCCATATCCCACCCTGGCCAAAGTAGTGCCCAACATTAGGGTTTCCAAATTTTGGCCAGATAGTTTAGTTTAGGTCTTCAGGGGCTTCCAGGCTCAGATACACATTGGCCCAATTCAGCCTGTACCGTTAGCTCAGGTCATTGGTGCTGGCTCTCCACCCCACTCTGGTGTCCATGGTGTGAGTCCTTTCCTGATAGTAGGCCTCAGTAGTCCTTTCCTGACAGTAGACAGTAGGCCCCACACTGTCAGAGAGGTTCCAGGAACTCTGTACCTCAAATGGAGAGCTGTTGAGAATTCAGTCTGTTTTCTATCCAGAGGCCCCACTGCATGTTCTTATTCCCCCTCCTTCCAGGGCTACATCTACATATCTGGGGATGCCATTCAGGAAACATCGGCCATATGAGTGAAACTACAACTCCAGGCAATGTGTTCTAGCATCCTAGTCAGAGAGGTCTCTGGAACTTCCCTTTCTAAAACTGCCTGTCATAGAATCTTATGATATAATAGCTTTCTGGCCCAGTATCCTCCTCCCACCCTTCAAAGAGACGGTGTACAACCTTCACCCTGGGGGCTCTGCAGGGGAAGAGGCTGTCCTGAAGGGACAATAGGAGAGCCTTTGATTTGCCGAGTGAGGTCTGCATGCTAAGGGGAAGAGCAAGAATATTAGGATAATGGGTGGGTCTTTTTTTTTTTTTTTTGGTCTTGCAGATTGAACCCAGGGGCACTTGGAAACTGAGGCACATCCCCAGCCCTTTTTTGGGGGCCTCCACACCCGGCTGGGTGGGTCTACTTATAAGCATAAGAGCAGCACAAAAAGACCCAGGGCAGCTGGAGAGCCCTCTGCCAGGAAATTACCTGCGCTTAGTCCATGATTCGTGATGCAAACCTCTCCTCCTGCTTCCCACAAAAACATCAGCAAGGTCCACAGCACTCTCCAACATTTTTTGCAGCTAGTTTTGTGGTTTGGAGATGAAGGGAGCCCGACATCAGGGGACCTAAGCTAGAAACACAGGGGGTCCCAGGAGCACCTCGTTCCATACAGATCAGAGGGACTTGCCGAACGTCACCCAGCAACTCACAGCTCCCAACAGGTCCTCCCGTGAAAAACGCTGCCCGCGCCGCCCACCGGAGCCACGGTGGCCCCTAGTCTCCCTGCCAGGTGCCCGGCTGGCTCAGGACAGATACTCCCGCACCGTGAGCTCCTTGAGGGTGAAGCCCCGGTGGGTGGGCTTCCGGAGCTGGCTCTCCTCCAGCCTGCCCTGCAGGGACACGAAGTCCTTGCCCAGCACGTAGGCCAGGCGGATCATGGCGTCCAGCAGGGGCGCATAGTAGCGATGGCCCTCCCGGGCCTGTAGGCACCGCAGGGCCCGCTCCCCGGCGGCGAAGGCCTCGGCGGGGCGCTCCAGGTCGCGGTGGCACACGAGCATGGCGCAGAGCGCGGGGACGGCGGCCGTGGGGCAGTGGGCCGTGAGCTTCTCCTGCAGCGGCACCACGCGCACCAGCAGCTCGAGCGCGCGCGCGTACTGGCCGGCGCGCAGGCAGCCGAAGGCCTCGCGCAGCTCGGGCCGCGTGAGGAAGTCGGCGAACTCGCGCGAGCGGCGCACGCAGCGCAGCGCGTAGAGCAGCCCCAGGTACTCCTTGAGCTCCAGCTTGCGCTCGCAGATCATCTCCTCCGAGAAGTTCCCCGTCAGGCGCTTCCGGGGGAACACCACGTCCTCCATCTCCTCCCGGAACGTCTTCAGCAGGCTCTTGTGCAGCCTCTCGAAGTCCGAGTAGCGCCGATCCAGGACAGCCTTGTTGCTGTCGAAGCTCCCCGTCTGGATGACCACGATCTGGTACATCTGCGGGACAGGTGGGGCCGAGCACACCTTTGACTACGCGCGCGAGCAGGTGAAAATGACAGAGCCCCCGGCAAAGGACAGTAACTACGAGGATACCCTGCAAATGGGTCATCCTTATATGCAATTCTGTTCTAATTGCCCTCGCCGTCGTCTGAGCTGTAAAGGGGCTCAGGACAGACACCAACCCTGCAGTAACGACTACAGCACCATAGGGCAGCTCAGAGGGAAAAAAGACACATGCGGGGGCCTGGGGACCCTCGTGGCTTTCCCTCATCAAAGCTGGGCCTCTGCGATCTGAACTGGGAAGTGGGTCAGAGCATCCTGCACACACACTGGTAGTGATGGTCCATCAGGAAATTATTGTTTGAATTCTCCTTCAAGAGAGTACTGGCGGGCTGGGGCTGGGCTCAGTAGCAGAGCGCTTGCCTCGCATGGCATGTGTGAGGCATTGGGTTTGATCCTCAGCACCACATTAAAAATAAATGAATAAAATAAAGGCATTGCGTCCATCTACAACTAAAAAAAATTACACACATACACAAAAAAAGAAGAGTACTGGTTAAGGGTACAGACTCTGGAGCCAGACGGCCTGGGTTATAATTCCAGCCCCATCACAATCTAGCTGTGTGGTCTTAGGTAATTTATCCTCTCTGAGCCTCACGTATCTTATCCATAAATTGATGATAGGAATAGTACCTACTTCAATCACTGTATGAGGATTAAATGAGTTAATGCACTGAAACCACATGGAACTGTGCCTAGCATGCAGTCAGCACGCAGTGGTAGCTATAGTTATTGTCCTGGTTCCAATTAAGTGGAGAAGAGGGGTCAAGTGTGGCTCTGACATCTTCCTAACACAGGCTGGAATTCCAGCCTTGCTAAGACAGCAGCCCCCAAGCACAGAGCTGTCCAAGGCCCTAGTAGCCAGCCAATTGAATTACAGTATTTAGTTTTATTTGTTATTTACATTTGTAGTTGTACGTACTTTTCTTTATGCCATGCGATTGTGGTTTTCCATTTAAATATATTCAGTGTTTTAAAGAAGGGATCCAAGTTATGGTGGCAGATGCCTGTAATCCCAGCAGCTTGGGAGGCTGAGGCAGGAGGATCATGAATTCAAAGCCAGCCTCAGCAACTGTGTGGTACTAAGCATCTCAGTGAGACCCTCTCTAAATAAAATACGAAACAGGGCTGGGGATGTGGCTCAGTGGTTGAATGCCCCTGGGTTCAATCCCCAGTAAGCCCTCCCCCTGCAAAAAAAAAAAAAAGAATTGATCCAATCTAAAGAAAAAATAAATAAATAGCAGTAAAAGACACAAGGTTAGGACAAAATCCAGTGGAGAGGGATGAAGATGACTAATACCTGATCACCTGGGCTTCAGCAGGGCTATTTCTTAGGGTCAGGAAGCTTGACTCCTCCTACCTCTCTAATTTTCACAGAATTTAGCACAGTGCTCTTTGGCCATTGCTCTGGAAGAACTCTGTGAGTTAAAGTCTATCAACCCATTTCGTGGTTGGGGAGGTCGAGGTCTTGCCCAGGGCCATTTGAAAGGGCTCCATCACTTCCCCATCTCAACTTACCACAAACTTGGAGACCTTTCGCTCCTCAATGCGGGCTGAGGCGATCTCAAAGAGCAGCTTGACGTGCTTCCAGCGGCACTTCTCCTTCTTCCAGTACTCCTGCAGCTCCCGGGTGGTCATGCTGGAGTTGGAGCTCGGACTGGGGTGGGCACCTGGAAGGACAGCCTCCTTAGGGATCTGCACCAGGGCTGTGCACTTGAGAGGCAAGGGCTTGGGGCGGTGGCTGGGTCTGTCTTGGAGGGGGCATCAGGATTCAGGAGGAGCGGTAATTATGCCCCTCTGCTCACCCTTACATTTATAAAACTGAGTGTGGGGGAGGGCATCAGCCAGGAGCCTGCGTCCAAACTGGCAGAACCCACCCACTGCTGACGACTTCAAATAGCCAATCGCCGCAGCTGGTTTCCTGATTGTGAAATGCAGTGAGGGCATGTTGCAGAGGCCCTCCGGCCTGCAGATCAGCACTGTGCAGCCCTGTACTGCTGACAGTACCCTGCCTTGTCTACCTGGGCCCTGCCTGCAGCACTGACTGTCCGTGGCTGCCCCAAGGACCCTAAGCACATGCCAGAGCGGTGGAGGGAGCTGCCAAGATGCTGGGTTCCAGCCTCAGCCTGGCCCGCCCCTCCTCGCCCTCGCTCACTGCCCACCCGGCCTGCTTTTTCTACCATGGGCCACTTATCTGTTTTGAACCCAACCCTCCCATTGCCCTATCTGGAAACCAACTCTGTTTCTTTCCCTTTTTTGGTGTTAGTAATCTTTTTAAAAAATTGACTTATCCTAATTTGTTGTATATGACAGCAGAATGCAATTCAATTCATATTACACAAATAGAGCACAATTTTTCATGTCTCTGGTTGTAACAAAATAGAGTCACACCATTCGTGTTTTTATAAGTGCACTTAGGGTAAGTCTCACTCCACCGTCTTTCCTATCCCCAAGCCCCCTCCCTTCCTCTTCCTCCCCTTTACCCTATCTGAAGTTCATCTATTCCTCCCAGGCTGCCCCCAACCCCCATTATGAATCAGCCTCCTTGTATCAGGGAAAACATTTGGCATTTTTTTTGGGGGGGGGAGGGGATTGACTGACTTAGCATTATCTTCTCCAACTCCGTCCATTTACCTGCAAATGCCATATTGCTGAGTAATATTTCTTGTGTATAAATGCCACATTTTCATTATCCATTCATCTACTGAAGGGCATCCACAGTTTAGCTATGGTGAATTGTGCTGCTATAAACATGATGTGGCTGTGTCCCTGTAGTATGCTGATTTTAAGTTCCTTTGGGTATAAAGCAAGGAGTAGGATAGCTGGGTCAAATGGTGGTTCCATTTCCAGTTTTCCAAGGAATCTGCATAGTGCTTTCCAGAATGGCTGCACTATTTTATAGTCCCACCAGCACTGTATGAGGGTACCTTTTTTCCCACATCCTCGCCAACACTTATTGTTGTTTGTATTCTTCATAGCTGCCATTCTGACTGGAGGGAGATGAAATCTTAGAGTGGTTTGGATTTACATTTCTCTAATTGCTAGAGATGATGAACATTTTTTCACATATTTTCTTGGTCGATTGTATCTCATCTTCTGAGAAGTATCTGTTCAGTTCCTTGGCCCATTTATTGATTGGGTTATTTGTTTTTTGATGTTAAGATTTTTGAGTCCTTTATATATCCTAGAGATTAGTGCTCTATCTGATGTGCGTGTGGTACCAACTGTGTTTCTGAAACCTCCCTTGAGACCTGAGCCCCTCTGAGAATCTTGAGAAAGCTTAGAATCTTTCTCTACTAAAATTGTGCAAGTAATTGTGCATTTTTTTTTTGTGTGTGAATGATGTGGTCCCCAGAAGCCCTGGCCTAGTGTGTCCACCTGCCTACATGTCACTTCAACTGCTCCTTGGCATTACAGTCCTTCCCACCTTGTTCCAATAGCTCTTTGTGGCACTTCTAATTGTTTTGCATGGGTGTTTCCCTGAGGAACCAGAGGCCAGTACAGTGGTTTGTTCTCTGCCTTGGGTACAGCAGGTTTTCAATGGGTCCATCTTGAAGGACTGTCGGGAGAGATTAGTTCCAGGAGGTGGTGCTATGGGAGATATCAGTGCCTGGCTGGGGCCTTGGGCACTCATTGTCCTGGAACATGCTACTGACTTTCTAAGGGAAGCACTAGACTCCCAGCGTAAGGGCTTTCTGGGGCCATAGCGACAAGCGCAGGGGCCTCCCTCAGCTGAGGCGGGATGGGACTGTGGTCTCACAACTCTGAGATACGTTCCACCACACGACCTCCTAGAAGATTCCTTTGGGAGTGAGCCTGTCACCTACCCAAGTCATATGCTCACTGGTACCCTGGGTGGCTCCCCACTTTCCCCATCCTCATTTCCCGATCCCCTGCCCTTGACTCCTGGTCACCTACCACATAAGCAACTAGCACCAAACCTCATCCCAGGGTCAAGGGTGACCCAGGGTAAAAGAGCTGCCAGACTGTCCTGCACCCATTCGTTGTAGGCGCCCACGTTTGTACTTCAAGTGTCTTTAAACCTGTCCCCCTCATGGAGTCCCAAGCTGCAGGCCCACCTGAGTGTTCTCTAGGTCCTGGGCTTGGGAGATCTGGGTCCGAGGTGGGTGCTTCCTGCTTGGTCTTAGCAGCACACTGGGTTACAGGTCCTGTCCAGCCAGGGCTCCCAGGGTGCTCAGGACATGCCATGTTCCAAGGCTGCCAGGGCAGAAGAGAGAACAGTGAGTGCCCATTCATGCTGGGGCTCCCAGAGGTTCCTGGGTCCCTAGGACACATATTGTACTGTCTGCTCAGTACAGAGGGGAATGACAATACTCCCCCCAGCTGACCCTCCACTGCCCACCCAGCTGCAAGATCCAGACCTGGGTCTGCTCTTCTGCTGGACAGATGGTTCCAAGGTGACGTAGACCTTCTGTTAGGATTATGATCCTTGTACTATTAAGTTGCTCTTGATTTTCAATGTGGTGACTTCAAGCCAAGATAATGGCTTGTCCAGTTAAATGCCCCAATGCTCAATTTTAGATTACTCTGTGTGTATCATCTAACATCATCTATCTACTGTCTATTATCTATCTACCAATCTGTCTATCATCTATCATTACCTATCATCTACCATTCATCTATTGTCTATCATCTGTTATCTATCATTATCTATCATCTGTCTATCTATCATCTATCATCTACCTATCAAGTTACCTATCTATCACCTATCTATCATCATCATGTATCCTTTATCCTATTTTTTCTATTTCTGTACCATCTATCTATAATCTATACATCACCTGTCATCTATCTATTTATAAGGAAACTTTTACTGACAGCTTATTTGGCCCACTTCTTAGTCACCTAGTTCTTCATATTCCTTGTCTAATTTACAGCTCACAGAAATCTATCATTTCCCGTAAATAACAGATGAGGAAACGGAGGTCTAGCCCAAGGTCACATGGCTGGTGAGTGTGCCCAGTGAGCAAAGTGGAACTTGTTTGGTGTGCACTCTGCATTCAATCCGCTCACTCTCTCACTTAATCTGACCACCATCGGTGATAGGGACTACTTTTATCTTCACTCTGTGATAAAAGAACTTGGATTTAGAATTGCCCAAGAGCAAGAGCTGGTACCTGGTGTCAGGACACACCCCCGCCTGGCTGACTCTGTCTTAGCCAGGTGAGTTGGGAGGGCAGGCAGGTGGTAACCGAGTTCGGTGGATGCAGCAACTCTGCTAGTGACCCAGATGAGTGAATGAGATGACCTGGAAGCCGGAAAGTTTCTCGGCTTCTCTGTGCAGCCAAGTCCCATGGCATCACAGCCAACCCATCTGCACGAGGTGGGTGGACTGTCAGGCAGACCCTGGAAACAGCCAGTCAGGGCACACACACATACTCGGTGTAGTCATCCTGTTTTTAGGATCTGGTAGGTGCTGGATGCTTTGGGAAGTAGTTGTGGAATCAATGACTCCAGGGTGTGAGCTGGAGTGGAATTCCATATCCCTGCACATCAGAAAAAGGGGCGGAGCATTTGGAGCAAGTAGCTGGGGCACCGCTCAGGCCAAAGGATTCAAACTTGGGAGGATGCAAGTGACCCCCTACCAGGCTTTATCACTGTGGGATGGTGGCAGTGGGGGTGAGGGGAGCTGGTTCTTGAACTCTGGTCTGTTGGGTTCCAACCCCTGGGTCTGACCCTCCGGCTGGCCACGGCCTGGAATGAAGCAGGCCACTGCTGCCTTAGCGTCCCCGGTGGTTCCCTAGGGTCCCTGCTCCAGGGGTGAGGGCCTTTCTCATCTGGCCTGACCTGGGGAGGGTGAGCTCGGCTGGGACTGGAGCCAGGCTTCAGGGGGCTGTGGAATCCGAGCCCTGGCCATACTCCAGGTCCCCAGCTGGGCAGTTGTCTAGTGGCTGTCCCCAGGGGCCCTTGATCCGACTTCTCCTTTCACAGATGAGCAAATTGGGGCACAGGGCAGGGGCCTGGCTGGCCAGGACTATGGGAGCTCAAGCCTGCTGCAGCCCACACACCTCAGCCATCTCATTCTGTCCTCAAGGAGTCAGGAGACCCGGCTTCTGTCCTGACCAACTGTGGGCTCTTGGGCAGGTACTGTTTCCCCACCTGAAAAGTGTAGCCTCAAGCCCAGCCCTGCTGGGGATGGGTCCCCTATATCATGCCAAGTGATCAAGCAAGATGGCGGTGGTCCCAGGCTTTCCTATCTAATGGACTCTTGGTAACCGGGGATTCCTCGGGGACGCAGGTTTGTGGGCAGGCCTCTGCATGGGCCTCAGCCAGCTTATCTGTAAAATGGGTGACTGTGAATGGATTGGCCCCAAGGGTCCCAGCCCTTCCCGTTCTGCTTTCGTGATTGGGCAACTAATACCAGGTCAGAAGCAAGGCCTGGCTTTCTCAAGAACTTAAAAGATCCCAGAAATGATGCCTTGGCTGGAAACTGCAGTAAAGACCCGAGAAAGCCGAAACCTGGGCTTAAAATGAAAATCAAATTGAAGAGCCAAAGCCGGCTCACTTAGGTTTCCTCTGTGGGGTTTGCTGGGTGTCACCCATTTATAAAGGAGTAGAAAGGGAAAAGTCACGCACTGGTGCCACCATGGGGTCTTAGGCAGCTTCCCATCCATGCCCAGGCCTCAGTCACTCCATCTGTGAAATGGGACAGCAAAGAACTCTAAAGGTCTTTGGGGTCAGCCACATAAGGGATTCTGAGGACTCGTCCCTCCCTTCCCCATGGCCTCTGCTGAAAACATTTCTAAACTTCACTATAAAACACTGAAGTGTGGGGGGCCAGCTTGGCCCAGAGGACAGAGCAAGAGCTGGTACACGGTGCCCGGACACTCACCCAGCCTGTGTGTCTATGTATCAGCTCCCAGCCCCTTGGCCCTCTGGCTTGGTGTGTGTGACAGTCATCCTACTCCTCCTTGACTCCCAGGTCCCCTGACCCTCACTCCCTGCTTTGAAGAGTCCTGCCATGTCCAGTCCTTCTGATGGGCACACAGGGCCATCTGCAGAGCCCACGCTCCCTTCCTGAGGGGGCTGCAGAGGCTTCTCATCTGGGATGAGTCTGGTGGAGTGGAATAAAGCTCCCTGGCCTATCCAGGAGGCAGAAGAATTTGGGACGTTGGATGCACAGCTGCCCTCACTGGAGAGAGGGTGGGCCCCACTGGACACCTGGACATTCCCTGAGAAGCCTGCCCAATGGCAGGGACTCCCGCATATGCGTGTGCATCAGGATGCCCTGGTGGGGTGGGGTCTGGGAGCTGGTTCAAAAGCAGATTTCCTGGCTCTCGACACCCAGAGTCTCATCTAGTTCTGGGGTGAGCCCTCGGTTTGTATTTTGTACCGATTCCCCAGGGCTGTGCTGACGCAGGGTCCCAGGCACTGCTTTTTGGTTCCCCAGGACCAAGAGGGCTTGGAAGAGTGCTGGCATTTCAAGAGGAATCGAGGTGATGGGAAGGGGGGCTGCTCCCTGCTCGGCCCCAGGGTGCTACAGGCTGTCACAACCCTTCCCCGTCCCACCCTCTCCCCAACAAGCATGGAGGGGTCACAGGAGGAAGGGATGGAGCTCAGAAGCCACCTGATCTTGGGATCAAACACTGACCTGAGGTCTTCGGGCCCTGAGTACGTCCAAGGGTCCAGGAGCGGGTCACATATTTTCTCTGTTCCAAGCTCCCGTAAGTGGTTGAGTGGCTTTTGCTTTGCTAAGTTCCCTGTTTGAAAACAGGAAATAGGCTGTGTGACCTGTCCTGATCGCCCCCGCTGATTGGCTGGTGAAAGGTGATACTGAGAAGCCCGCAGACAGACGGCCTGTGGTCTCGGGGGCAGTCCGTGGGAGGGGCAGCGTGGGGCAGGGCAGGAGTCTAGGTTGTCCTCACTGCTCAGCAGCCCAGCTCCCCGCGGAGGCCCACACAGTCCCTGGCACTCCCAGAGTGGCTCCCAGAGCCCTTCATTTTAGCCCTTTTCTGATGCTGTGAGGGGAGACCGTAGACTGAGAAATTTATAAAGAAAAGAAGTTCTTCTCAGCTTAGTGGCAGTCCTCGTGTCTGCCAAGGGCCTTCTGCTTCTGGTGTCATAACATGGCAGAAGGTGAAAGGGCAAGCAAGTGCTTGCACAAGACGGCACCTGCTCTGTCTCGTTAGCCACTCCCACATCATTGATCCATTCTGACCCAAGACCCGATCTTCTCTCAGGACCCTCTCGACCCAATCACCTCTTTCAAGGCCTCACCTTCCAACCCCATCATTCCTCCAAAACATGAGATCGGGAGGCATTCGAACCCCAACACTCTTTAGTATTTATTGTTCTATCCTCTGAGCTTGGCAGGATGGGAACCATCATGCCCCATTAACAGATGGACAAACTGAGGGTCGGAGCACAAAGACGGTGGACGCAGAGTCAGTGCCTGATGTGGATGGGAATGTGACGGCCTCAGATCTTCATCTGGTGCAAAGCCACGTCCAACAGCTACCAGGGAACTGATCCCGGGCAGCTAAGTGATCCATGGCCCTCGGTATTTGTGCCTCAAGGGCAAGAGGCTGGGCAGGAAAAAAGAAAAATAAAGTGTGCTGCCTCCTCCTGGGAGTCCACCAGGTTTCCCAGTCCCAGCAGGGGCCATCAGAGTCTGGATTCTGATGATGGCTACCTCCTCGCTCTGGGAATTTACTGCCTATGAATAGATCCTTACACATCCCAGTTTCTTTCTTCTCAGTTTTGAATTCTATATAAATTGAGCCATCTATGCTGTGTGTGTTCTTTGGCATTTTGCTTCTTTCATTCAACATTTACGTGTGTAAGTTTCAACAATTTGCGTGTGCGTGTGCGTTTGTGTGTTTGTAGTTGGAGTTTTTTAAAAAAATTCTGTTGTAGCATTTCTACATTATTTTAAGGCATCGCTGTTTACCCTCCTTTGGGTCTGTTGGTGCACATTTGAGTAGTTTCGAGGATGGTGTGTTAGTCATCTTTTTGTCACTGTGACCAAAATACCTGACAAGAACAACTTAGAAGAGGAAGTTAGTTCTGAGCCCACAGTTCCAGAGGTTCAGTCCCTGGTTGGCCAACACCATTTCTCTGGGTCCAAGTGAGGAACATCAGCAGGGTGTGGTGGAGGACAGGGGCTCAGGTAGCTGAGAAGCAGGGACGGGGGAGGGGAAGAGAGGAGGAGGAGGAGAGAGAAAGAGGGACGAGATAAACCAGGGACCAGATACAACCCCCAAGGCAACTCCACCAGTGACCTGCGTCCTTCAGCTATGGACCCCCTGTCTGTAGTTACCACCCAGTCGTCCATTCAGATTGTGAGTCCATCAATGTATCAACCCACTGATGAGACTCCAGCTCTCTTAATCATTTTACCCCTGAACATTCCTGTTGACCTAACATGAGCTTTTCCAGGGGTGTCTCATATCCAAACCTTAACACAGGACCATCAGATCAATGCGGCTGGCAGAGTGACTACTGGAGGTGAGACTGCTGGGTCTTGAGTGGGACAGCTGCAGCGGTAGAGACTATTCCCGATCGTCCTCTAGCACGGCTGCACCTTTTTGCAGTGACCCCAGCACAGGATGTGAGTTCCAGGGGCTCCAGATTCTCACTCACACTTGACAGTGTCATATCACTTTTTTTTATTGTCACCCACTGATGGATGTTCAGTGGTATCTCATCACGGTTTCAACAACTGCATTTCTCTGAAGACTAACCATGTCAGACACCTTTTTCCTGGGCTAACTTCCCATCTCTACCTCCTCCTCGTGATGTGTCCACCAAGATCCATCACTCATTTTTTTTTTTTTAGAGAGAGAGAGAGAATCTTAATATTTATTTTTTAGTTATCGGTGGACACAACATCTTTGTTTGTATGTGGCGCTGAGGATCGAACCCTGGCCACACGCATGCCAGGCGACCTCGCTACCGCTTGAGCCATATCCCAGCCCCCATTGCTCATTTTTTGTTGAGTTGTCTTTGATGGCGTGGAGGTATTCGTTGGGTATTCTCTTTTGGTGCCTGTGTCCTCAGCATCCTGTCCCTCCTCTGGTTTGCACTGGTACTTACTAGTGGGACTTTAGGATGACCAGAAGTGGCCAACTTTAAAGCCTTCAGCGCTATTGGCCTTCTCTGTCACAGCCAAAGCCGTGGCCAGTTCTTCCTCATCGGCTTCTGCAGCATCGTCCTGGTTGGTCCCAGGCGTGAGTTGAGATGTGGGCAGCACTTACAACAGTGCTCTTCTGGGCCACACAGCCCCTTATTCTAGCCCTCGGTGTGTCCTTCTCTTTGGGCTCTAGGTCGCAGGGTTTACCTACTGGCCTTGTTTATTGAAGTGACCGCCCAGCCCCACCTCCTGGCGGTACCTGGTGTCCTGAGTCTCCGCCTGTGGAAAGGTCTGTCTGGGGAGACGCTCCAGGGAACTGCCCTGCAGGTGGCCTCCGGCTGCCAGCTGGGGAGCCCTTGGGCGCAGGTGCGGCATCTCACCGGGCCGCGCCTCAGGTCGCCTGGCCGAGGCCTGTGCTGTGGCGATGGAGGGTCATAGGTGAGGCTGGACCGCCCTCCTCTGTCCTTCAGCTCCCCAGTTGCCTGGCCCGGCTCTGCCCAGCCTGCTGTGCCATGCCGGCTCCGACTCAGCCCTTCCCTTGGCCGGCAGCTCCTGGCCCAGAGTCAGCAGCTGCAGGGGACGGGGCGGGAGCCTTCTCTGGAAACCCCAGACGTGCAGGGGTGTCTGGCCGGGTCAGGAGGGCCTCGCTGGGTGCAGTGACTGGGGCTTCGTGCCCGGCCACCCGCTAGTGTCGCTTTTCTCTGCAGCACGGCGCTGTGTGCAGTAGGGAGCAGGAAGGGCCCTCCCTTGGGCCACCCGGCACCCGGCCAAGTCCCGCAGCCCCGGCCTTGCATGACTACCGGGTCTCACCGTTCTGGAGGCTGCGAGGTTCACGATCAGGGTGCTCACAGAGTCCGTGTCTGTCCACAGTTGGCCATCTTCTCATTGTACCCTTCCATGGAAGAGAGAGGGCACATCTCTGTCAAGATTTGTCATTGACACAGGGGTCTTTTCATAAGGACACTAGTCTCCTTCTCGGGGACTCCACTCAGGCCTCCCCTAGGCCCTGCCTCCCAATACCATCACAGGGGGGTGTTAGGATATCAACTGGATTTGGGGGGACCCACTCAGTCCATGACAAGCAGAGAAGGGTCCACTGTCACTGCTGGGGTTGGGACACAACAGTGGTCACCCCTCATTGCAGTACTGAAGCCAGAAAGTGAGGAGGGGGCACCAAGGGGCACGAGGAGTAAGGGGAAGTGCTGTCCCCTCAGAGTCCCATGTCCTCTGTGCAATTCAAGATCAGAGCGGACCTCCCCTGCTGGGACCCTCCGGTGGCTTCCGCCACATGCAGAATGAAGCCAGCTCCCCACCCAGGCCTCTGTGAGCCGCTAGCTGTTCTGGTCCTGACCTCTGGGTCCTCCCCTGCCACCACTCTCCCACGCCCAGAGCCGCCCTGGACCCTCCTCCTGTTCCTCTAACTGGAAATACCCTTTCCGGGGTTCTTTCCATGATGGACTCTCACATCCTTAGGTGACGGCTTTATTGTCACTCTCTGCAGGCCTCTGTCAAGACGTGTCATTGTTTTGCTTCTTTGCTTCCTGATTGATTGTCTGGCTCAAATGTCATCAGGGCAGGGACTTCACCGGGGTCCGTATTTCTGACCCAACACCCAGCACAGTGCCTGCCACCTGTGGGCACTGGAAGGAGTTGGGGTGGGGGTGCATGGGGGTGAACGTGAGGAGGGGCTGTCTGGGCTGGAACTCCAGATGAGCCCAGAGTCACAGCGCGATGCTGGGCGTCCGCTTCCCTCTCTGAATTTTGGTTTTCCTAACTGCAACATGAGATCGGATCAAGTCCTCCTGCGGAATGCATTCTGTTTGAACAGATAATTGAGTCCTAGAAATTCCTCTCACTGCCATTCCCGATGTCGGGCACACGGGGGACCATGATATCAAAACATTTTCTTTGAAAAGTTCAACAGGAATTGATCACCCCCAGGTGCGTCTCCCCTCAGGTGGGGTGAAGCAGATCCAAACTGGGGAGTGTTTTGCAGATGACGCAGGACGTGGGGTCCCATCAGTCTTGTTCCCCACAGCTGGTGTGTGAGCAGAGGTGATTAACAAGATTTCAAAGGTTCTGAAAGTTGCAGGACTTTGACATTGCAGCCACAGGCAGAATGACCTGGGGGACACCACTGTGGTGGTGTTGAGGCCCGGTGGGGTAAGTCAGGCTGCTCCGTAGGTGTGGGGAGTGCCGGTCACTACAATGGAGCCTCCTGGCCCTCGCTCCCCCTCTGAATGGCCAGGTCTGATGTGTGTGAGATTCACGAGGACGTTGCAGAGAAAATCTAATTTTTCTTCTCAGGAGAAAAATCCCTCCCATTCTTGGGCAACCTGTTTGTTCAGGTGGAGACTTTGACAGTACCCTGCTGGACGCTGGGGCCACCCTGTATTGTTTTAAAGGTCTGTTCCTTGCACAGGGCCCTGAGAAGAGCAGGGAGGGATGGAAGTCGGGCCCCCTCCCCTGACGATGAAGAGGGGCCTTCTTCTCCTTAGAAAAGCAGTGCAATGTGGCCTGGCCACGAGTTCCTTCATGACGGAGGGTGGAGGGTGAGGAACTGGTTCTTCAAAGTCACTGTATTCCGTGGATGGAACATTTCATTTTGGGGAAGTGGGATTTGTAAGCTTGGGGTGAGAACAAAGGGTT